AAACAAAGGATTTTTTGAATAGGGATTAGACTTCCCACAATTGTGCGATAAGTTATGAAAATGAAGGTCTGGAAGAGAAATATTACTAGCCAGGGACTACAAAAGGCAAATGGTGAAGGATTCTGGGGGAGACGTGCCTCTGTGTCTCCTGGTAGTTTTGAAGTTATTGTAGGGCAAGCAGTCAGTAAGACAAATTGGATCTGAAGCAGGAGAGAATGAAGGCAACATGGAACCCATGCCTATCTCTCACCACTTCTAACCCTCACAATGTCAGTGGCTTATAGAAGAAGTGCATGTCCTCGGCCATGGAGCTGCACTCATGACTGACCCAGACTTGGCAGGAGCTGGAGAGGCTGCAGAATAGGCTCCTGCTCCACACCAAGGAGATGAGCAAGCAGATCAATGATAATGCGTGTGCATGAGCTGTGGTGGACCTGGGTTCCTGCACCAATCTTCAAATAGAATGATTGTTCTCTCACTCTGCCTTTCAAATCTCATGCTAATTTCTCTTGTGGCCAACTAGAAGGAAGGCCATACAAGAAAGGGAAATCTGAGGAATGTGGTTTGTGCTTAGCTAGACTGGTTCAGTACAAAACCACCACAGCAATCAATGTTTAGTGGCCTTAATTTAAGGAGCTCAAGCTCAAACCTAAGGATCAGTACCTTACTGGGAGATGTTGAGTAGAAAGATGGAGAGGGATCAGGTAAAAATTGGAGTATGAATCAGCCTAAATTAAGGCTGTCTGTGAGTTTTTACTCATAAAATCGGGATCCAGAAAGCCAGAGGGCAGGCAGGCTTTGTTCCGGAACATATTTGTATTTGACAACAATGATGAGAACCTGCCATGCTCTTAGAGAGCATTTTATGGTTTGTGTAGTGCTTTCGCATTCATCATTTCATTCTGAATGGATTGACTCTTCTACTGCATTCACTTATTCACTTGATGCATACTGAACATCTGTCCCACGGCAGGCACTGTGCTAGGTATTTTACATGTGCTGCCTTCAAATATAATATCTCTTTTATATTTCACTGTATCTCTGTGACAAAGGTATCATTGCTATTTTACACATAAAGAAATTATGGCTATAAATTTGGGGTTACAGAGATGAACAAGACTTTGTCCTTGCTTTCTAGAACAGGAGTTGGCAAACTTTTCTGTAAAAAGACAGTGCATATTTTCGGCTTTGTGGTCCATACAGTCACTGTTACAACTGTTCAACTCTGCAATCATAGAAAAAGCAGCCATGGACAATATAAAAATGAATGGACATGACTGTGTTCCAAAAAGACTGTATTTGCAAAAATAGCTGATAGAACAGCTCACGATGATAGAATGTGATAAAGAGTATATGTGAAGGCAGAGTGCATAAGTGGCTAGGGAACTTGCTGAGGCCTCCGCACAGACTTTCTAGAATTGTGACCTCTGTGTCTTATATTTCCAGGTCACTGCCATTCAAGAATCAGGAAATGGCTTGCAGACAAATGCAGGGTGGGATCTTGAGCTTATATCTAATCAGAGCATGTGTTTCCCTCCTGAGTTGACTATCTTCCTATAACAAGCCTGTGGTATGGGGACTATGTTCCACTATCCGTTTCCCCCTCCTGTATTAACTGTCCCCAATACTTCTTGAAACCCAGAGTTCCATACTCTTGGCATTGCTGAACCTGTGGGCTTGGTGTGATACCGCCCTAGGATGATATTTCCTTGTATGCCATCTTCAACTTCTTCTGATCCAAAGCTTATAAACAATACTTCCTAGTAAGTGGGTCACCAGTTTACACCTCCTAGAATGCCCTCTGGGCAACAACCTCAATGATAGGTCTGGTTCCTGCTGGAGGTATGGAATCACACTTATGGTTGAATGTCACGAGGAGGCAAACTTCAACTCAGTACAAGGAAGAACTCCCTAAACCAACAGAAACAGCCTCAAACTGGAATGGATTGTCTAAGAAAATGAGTTTCTGACCAGTGGGAGTTGAAGCAATGGCTGGATAACCATCTGAAGGAGAAGAACTCAGGAGTCTCTCTGCTCTGTTCTCCTATTAACTAATTCTGTGACCTTGGACAAACATCTTGACCTCTCTTAACTTGGTTTCATCATCTGAAAATGGAGATCAGTCATCTCTCATATGGCTGTTGTGATAATTAAATGAGATTGTTATTCAAATTCTTAGCATGCACCACTAGCCTGGCACACAGTTCATTTAAGATGGCCTTAGAGGGACTTTGACAGCAGGTGGGGTAGAGAGAAGTAATTTCTGAGGTCTGAGGTTTGCAGTTCTTTAACACACATATCTAATGAGAATTCCTTTCCTTATATGAGATGATTTCATGGAATCCCAGAAACAGGGGATATGACCTCAGAGGATCTCTTTGTGAGCGTGCCCCAAACTGGATATAATGAAGCAACATTTATTAACACAAAAGAATTTTATTTGGAAGGGAAATGATTGTAGGATTTTTATGCTTTGAGATTTTTTATGCGTATAAACCGTTTTGGGTAAAAGACATTCCAACATGAAGTGTTTCCAGTCAACCCGAACAAAGTTTTGCTTTTAAAATGCCTATACTAACAAAACTTTAGAGGAGGTTTGGGTAGGGAGAGGGGATTTCTTTTTTTAGAACTTTTGTTTGCCACTTGTTTAAAATATATTACTCAACGGGTTGGTATTAGAAATAAGCATTCATTTCCATAAGTCCTCCACAAAATGAAAGCATCTGAGTTTTGGGGCCGAGGGAAATGCAGCTTCTATTTCTTAATGCAGATGGAAAGAATCCCAAAAGACTAGTGAAGCAAGAAATTATCAAAACTGCGTGCAGTATTTACTAAGTAACTTCATGCCAGTGCCCAGAGAGCTGCCACCACGGCTGCCAAGCCCCATCATCCTCACTGACCATTGCAGAAGGGGCTCATTGCCCTGGGACAGAGGAAACAGGAAGTTTGCCCAACCCGGACAGAAGAAAAAGAATGTGTTCTAGAGAGCCCCAGCAGGTGGGGGAGCCCCTTTGCACAGGGAGGCTCTTTTGACCCAGAGTACACATAATAGAGCTCTCTCAGAAGAGAAATCCCTGCCCCAAGCCTCCCCTCCCTTTCCCACCCTC